GGCTATATATCATTTTTAAAGTAAGAAGTGTATTAAATTAAAACTATATAGAATTTAGCAACGTGAGTCCAAATATAGCACATGATAAGCTATTTTATAGCACCTAAATAGTTGGTCATCTATGGCAAGTCCACAATTCTGAGCCAAGTTCCTCCAAGTCTCCTGCATGTTTCTTAGTTTTTTCTCACCCATTGCCCAGCTAAGTGTGTTCAAGTTAAGGCAAATATGGATATGAAGGTAATTCAGCTCCCAAGCGTTGTATACAGCTCACATGCAGAAATTCCTCAGTGCGATAGAAGTGACTTTTGGATTATGCCTCTCACTGTGCCACCTGCTAAATATGGAGACTCAAGTTAAATTGTCACTGAGAACAGCTCTGTATTTCACTTTGCTGAGGTGTGCCTTTTCCCCAAACATCTCAGGATACCCAGGAGTGCTCAGGACCTCCTTGTAATCCACGTAGAACTGGTTCAACCCCCTTCATATAGTTTACTCTTATTAAAAACTTTTGGGGTGTCCCACATTTTAGACTATTATGAATGAGTTTCCATATTTCCATATCTGCTACTGACCAGCATGGAAAGCCCCAAACAGAATGTTCGAGATCTCCTGCACTGATTTCTGGAGAAAGTGAGGGCAGGTGTAATGGTTATGGGAGGGATAGGGGTTGAGCTGCTCTTCCTGGAGAGGACTGAGCTACCTGGGGATGATGTGTTTGTGGTGGGGGCACCTGGTGGCCTTTCATGGGGGAGGGTTGGGGGTGATTCTGCCTGTGGGGTGGATCTGTCCTTGGCATCCATGAGAACCAGTGAAACATTAAATATTTTCGTTGTTGGCAGCATTGGGCTTGGAGGCTCCTGCTCTGCTCCTGAGAGTTCTGCCAGTCTGGATTTGTGCACCGAGTCCCCAGAGGTGACTGAGCCAAGGAAGTGCCCAGAGGAAGCCAGAGGGCCAGAAGGTTCTCCACTGCCTGGCCCACATCCACCCTGGGAGCAGGAGTGCCCCTCGGCCTCCATGCCCTTTGCCAAGTGCTCCCCGGAAGGCTGCTTGGCAAGCCCAGCAGAGGCACCTGAAGATGGTCCCTTTACTCAACGCCCTGGGAGGGAACCTTCCCCAAATGCCCCAGGGGATGCTGTGGCAGCATGTGCTCCCAAGGGGGGCAGCTCTACTCAGCACAGTGTGGTTGCCGTCAACCCCAGTGCAAGAAGAGAGAAAGAGCTGAAAGAAGAGGAACAGAAATCCTCCTCTTCCTCCAGCTGCATTGACCAGGTGCCAGGAATCTCACCAGTACCTACCAGAGAGCTGGTGAAGGGACAGCTGCATGCAGAACATGACCAGCCTGGTGGTTTAGGATCCCAAGGAAAAGAGGCTGCAGGTAGCTTTTCTCCCCCAGAGTCCAGGCAGGAAGTGGCTTCTGTACAAGTGTCCCCCAAAGCCCCTGCTGAAGCCCAGCTGGGCAAGGAGAGCTCAGCTGGTCTGGAAGAGTCGTCCCCCCTAAAACCCAAGACCCTGATCCTACAAGATCCAGCCCCAAGAACTTCAGAAAGAGAAAAATGCCCAGTGGAGGTGCTGCCTCAGGATTTAACCGGCGACTTGAAATTCTTCAAGGCCTGCCGTCCCACTGGGAGCAATTCAGGGGCTGCCCAAGAAGCTGAAGTGAATGCTGCTTCCCAGGAAAGCTGCGAGCAGCAGACGGGAGCACATCAGCTGCATGCAGACCTGCTCCAGGATGCACTGGATCCCGCCCTGGCGGCAGGGGCCAGGAGCTCCTGGAAGGAGACTCTGGATGCCAGTGATGCTCAGGGTCACTTGCAGACAGGAATACAAGGAACCGAGCCCCGTGAAGCTGTCTGTGTGGCAGCAGGTGGCCAGCTTGAAGAAAATTTGCTTGTGAGCACTGAGTCCTCCCCACTCACCCCAACTGAGGAAATGTGTCCAGCTTCAAACCTCACTTCACATCTAGCTGCTCCAATTTTGGTTGCTACAGAAGGACCCAGCTGGTTGGCCAGGGAGACGGTTTCTGGGGCAGAGGTGCCAGTTCCTGCAGATCCAGCTCAAGAGCTGGTGGACGCAAGGATGGCAGGACTGGAGAAGCATGTGTCAGATCTCAGAAGCGAGCGAGAACATCCAGAAGGGAGCCTGGGAGAGGTTCCTGCGCCTTCACCCCAGGACAGGGGAGAGCACTTGAGCAGGGAGCAAAGCCCTGCAGTCCAACAAGGGTTGCTGCCCCCTCCTGCTCCCAGTGCATCAAGTGACAGTGCTAGGAGGTCACTGGAGCCAGAAGATGAAGTCTCTGAAGACACTGAAAGCCTAGCTCTGGCCAAAGAGGAAAGCAGATCACCTGGGGACAACCTTAGAGGACAGGAAGAGGCCCCAGAGCCCTCTGACAGTGCAGATCTTGGGAACGTGGGGGCAGATGAATCTCAGGCCCTCAGCTGCAAGCCTGATCCAGAGGTGGAAAAAGATGCGGTGTCAAAGCTAAGCAGCGATGCAGAGACCAGAGTCCTTCCCAGCTCAGACTCAGCACAGCCACCCCGAAAAGAAGGTGCTGGGCACACGGATGGGCCAGACTGTCAGTCAGCAGAGGCAGCGAGGGGGGTGATGGCAGAACCCCGTGTGGCTGATGCATGTGCCTCGCTGCACGAGCTCCGTGAGGAGGACCTGGTCCTGCCCCCTGCACCGGATGGAACTGGTGAACATGCTGTTCCCGAAGGAGCCACAGCGAGGGGGGTGATGGCAGAACCCCGTGTGGCTGATGCATGTGCCTCGCTGCACGAGCTCCATGAGGAGGACCTGGTCCTGCCCCCTGCACCAGATGGAACTGGTGAACATGCTGTTCCCGAAGGAGCCATTGGGGAGGGGCTGGGGTTGCAGACCAAATGTCCTGCCATCCTTCAGGGAAAGGGAGGATTGGGAAGAATGGAGTCTCTTCCTGCTTTAGAATCTGAGAAATCAGATTTCCTGTCGTCTCTTGCAGCAGAGGTGTTACCCAAAGCCCAGGAGGTAGACAGCACATTGGAGATAAAGACAACAGGCCCATTGTCATCCCCGCAGAGTCCCTGCAGCTGTGACGGGGATGGCTTGCTCACACTCCCAGGCCAACCCCATGAGCCAGGGCATGACACATCTGGACAGGAGGTTCGTGCTGACGTGCCATGTACCCCTGTGGGGGAGATCTTGGCAGTGGACAGTGGGCTCACCACACTCAGCCTGGAGCCCCCATGAGCCAGGGCATGACACATCTGGACAGGAGGTTCGTGCTGACGTGCCATGTACCCCCGTGGGGGAGATCTTGGCAGTGGACAGTGGGCTCACCACACTCAGCCTGGAGAAAGATCGGCAGGGAAACCTGTCCTGCCCAGGGGACAGCCAGATAACAGAAGCGGCATCCGAGAGGCCCCCACTGTCCTCTGAGCCCTGTCTCCAGCCATCCCAGTTAGACCCAGAAGCATCTGTCTTTGATGTGCTCAGGGAGAAGGTCCAACCACCTGAAAAAGGGAAAGAGACTTATCCAAGGGATTTAGGTTTTAAAAACAAGGGCACTGATTCTTCTCAAATCCACATGCCTTTGAAACCTTGGGAGGATGTGAAATTGCCCACTCATGGGGGACAGGAGTGTGCTTCAGGAACAGAACTTCAAAGTGAGCTCCCCAAAGGATGCCTGTCTGAGGCTCCAAGTTCATCCCCCAGGGAGCTGGCTCTGGTGAGTTCTCTGACAGAGGAGTCTGAAGTGTCAGCACCAGCACGACAGAAGTTGCCTGCACCAGCGGAGAACGGGCAAGAGGGAGCAGGCCGTGGTGGTCAGCCCTCAAGGGTCTCGCCTCCTGCAGCAGACAGCTTAAAAGACTCTTCTCTCGCAGGTGACTTGAGCAGAAAGGAAAGTTGTTGTGCTGGGCAGGGACCAAACAAGTCCCAGCAGGAGCTGGCTGGTGCTTTGGAAGCCGGCAGCCTGCATGAAGAAGCACGTCGAAGGGAAGCAGGAGTTTCTGACGCCGCTGACACTTGGCCCCCGCTCCAGGGCTTGGGGAAGACAGAGACGGCAAGTAGAAACACAGCGGGCACCCCGCCTTGTCCGCCTGACTCGCCAGCTCTCCTGCATGCAGCTCGCTGCCTGCCAGCCCCAGAGCCCGCCAGCTCCAGGGTCACACCCACCCAGGATGCCCCGGAGAGACAGGCATGTGATGAAACCCAGGCAGGCAGGCTGCAACCGGCGCTGGCCCCGCAGCAGGAGATGGAGTGCCCTGCCACCTCGGACGCAGAGGCTCCCAAGTTTCTTGGGAGTCTCCCATCAGCTGGGGAGCAAGGCAGTGAAGGTGGGACGGCTGAGACTGGAGGGAATGCTGATGAAGGGGTCCCGGGGATGCAGCAGGGTCCAGAGGAACCAGAGGAAGCTGCTCAGAACGGTGGCTTCTTTCAGCCTGAGCCCTGCCTCATGCCTGGGGAGGATGCCTCCACCTCTGCCCTAGGAGAGCCCTGCCAAGCTGAGCAGCCCGCGCCCAGCTGCCAGGAGGCCTTGCTGCCAGCCGGAGAGCTGGGTGGGATTCCCAGGAGCACCGTGGATATTTCTGCACACCAGGCTGTCCCAGACCCCAACAGGCTCCAGCCGTCAGGGCCACCCGAAGAGGCTGCTCCTCACACTCTTTACCTGCATATCGATGGTGCTGCCAGGAAAGGAGCAGAAGACAGTGGAGTAAAGCCTGTTTCCTCTGAGAGCCCGAGAGCTCCCAGTGAAAGCCCCTGTCCCATAGAGGAGCCCCTGCTTGCCTTGGAAAATGCTGGCCCCGTGAAGCTGTCTGCTGGCTCCCTTACCTCCCTCTTGCAACCAGGTGCTGCCGGAGGGGAGATCTCTGCAGTGCAAGCCAGCAGCGGAAGGCCCAAAGCTGGAACCGTGGAGAGACCTGTGGACTCTGTGCCCTACCTGGACAGGATGCCGCTTCTGGCCAAGGGTAAGGAGATGACAGGGGAGGAGAAAACAGCAATGGCTCTGGGTACAGGTGCCAAACCCAGTGAGATTCCAGCAAGCCGGGCCACTGAGGAGGGCGTGGCAGGTGGCACAGCAACAGAGACAGAAGGCAGTGGGGAGAGGACGGTAGAACCTTCCCAGGATCCGAGGAGGGGCGCGGCAGGTGGTGTGGACACAAGCTCCAAGCAGATCGGAGGGATCGCCGGGCTCCCTGACTTCAGGCAGCACCTCACCAAGATCTTTGAGAAGCCTGTGATCGGAGCCCTGACCACCAATCAGCCCCAAAGCACTCCTGGAGAAAAGGCAGGAGCTGGGAGGAGTGTGGCAAGCAAGGAACTCCCCATGCTGCTGAGTCCAGAGAAGCTTCTAGATGGGACTCAAGGAGTGGCTGTCATCCCTCTCCCTGCACCTCCTGCTGGGCTCTGGGTGGAGAAGAAACAAGGGTTGGCTGTAGAGGCTGTTTCACAACTGGATTCCCAGAATCCAGCTCCAGACAAGCTGCCAGCTCTGGCAGGGCTAGCCTTGGAGAAGAGCTTGCCAGGTGCCAGTGTGGGGAGTGAGATGACAGGTGTGCCACCAATAGTGAGGAGTAACAAGAGGCCAGACAGCACTGGGGAAGGCTGGCTATGCCTGGAAGGCCAGGCTCACTCACAGCAGAGGAGAGATGGGCAGGAATCAGCTTCAGGTCTTTCCTCAAAGGCAGCTACTCAGGGGATTCCTGTTGAGAAAGCCTCTGACTTTCAGGTGGCTCCCCAGAGCCCCAGAGTAGGGGCCTGCGCTCAAGTTGATGGAATTCCTTCTGGAAAACAGCACCAGGAAGCATCTGCCTGCAATAGTCAAAATAGAGAAGACAGTACCTGGGATGTGGCTCACACAGGGGAACCAGGTGACGTGCCAGGATCCGCCTGTGCCCTGGAAGCCTCTTCTCCTCATGAGAATGTTTTGATTATGCCTGAGGCCAACAATGAGCCCTGGACCCCTGATTCACTTGAGGATGACAGGAGGCCTGGAGGTGCCACCAGCATCTTGGAAATGCACAATGCTCTGCACAACCAGAGCACCCTTGAGCCATCAACTGGAGAAGTGTTGGACACTCCCCTGGAGCCCGGCAAGGTGGCAGGAGCTGCTGGAGGAGCAAAGGGTGACGTCATGCTGAGCACAGCTGAGACACAGGCACGTGCATCAGGTGACCTTCCTGAAGTAGGTACTACAAGAGTGTTCTCCAGCAAGGCTCAGGACTTGGTGCTGCCAGGAAGCTGCCAGGACCCAGGCTGCTCTGATAGGACTTGGGTGATGGAGGATGCAGCCACCGTGCATGGGGACAGCCCGACTGTGCACCAGCAGGCTGAGGAGCATCCAGGGCCAGAGTACCCCACTCCTGCTGGGGATGGGAAGGTGGGTGTCTCCTCACCTCCAGAACCTGATGAGACTCGGGACCTAAAGCTGCAGCGCTTGGCTCCAGAAGAGATCCAGGCTGACAGGTACTTAAAAGAATAAATTCCTTTATTTATTAAGGGGTCAGTTTCAAGGTGATTCCCAGGCTAATTTTTAAAAGTTAATCAAATAGATAGGTGGTTTTCAAAAAGCTAAATTTCCCATATCTAATTGCTTAAATGTGCCCTCTCTGGATGTGCTGAGATTCTGAAAAGTGGGACAGAAATGATTGGAGGCCCCATGCGAGCTGTTTTGTAATGTGTCTTACCCTTTTTCTTGTGTTCTTTCATTCATCTAATTCACCCTGTTGGGAAAGTGTGACATGTGTACTGGCCAGCAGCTCACTATTGGGTGATAGGTCAGTCACATGTTTTTCTGGAGTCCAGATCTCTTTTTGAATTTGACTTTATTCAGGCAGAGAAGGCCAAAATGATTCAAAAGCATCTTAAAGCCATTGATTGCCTGAAGCTCATTTTTTCTAGGGATTTTGATGTAGTAGTCACTCAAAGCTCTAAGTGGGAAACGTGCTTTTTCGATAGGACATGGAGAGAAATGTCCCTCTTCCCATCTACATTATCCTATCAATTGCTTTCTTTTATTATCCCAGAGAGAGCCCTGGGCTTGGCCCATCCAACTTACCTTCTGTTCCTGAGGATGCTACAAGAGTTACAGGCGAGGTCACTTCAGATGAGGCCAGAGTTGCAGGAGCAACAGAAAGGTCAGTGAAATTTATCAGTCTTTGGAAGACCACGGTGCCTTCCTCAGACAGACAACTGGGTGTTTTGCAAGAAGGGAATAGCCATTCCCGTTCTCTGTACAGGTGAAGTTGTACCTGAGATGACTGAAAGCTCCATTGTTGTAGAAGGGATGAAGTGAGTTGCTTTCAAATCTGAGCTTACTGACCTTTAAAAAAAACCAACCCGTCTTTATTGTTATATAATGCAGATACCATATAATTCACTCATTTAAAGTGTACTTCAATGGCTTTTAGTATGTCTAGAGTAGTGTAGCCATGGCGACAATCAATTTCAGAACATTTTCATCTCCCCACAAAAGAAACCCTGCAGCCCTTAGACACCCTATCTCAACCCCCCTCAGCCCTGGGCAACCACGAATCTAGTTTATTACCTTTTGAGGCAAATGGGTGCAATTGATTTAATCTCTGAAGCAGGACTGGCTTGTCACCAGCAGCAATCACACTCCACAGAGATCTCAAGATTAGAGGAGGACAAATGACAAATGTGACTGTGACGTCTAGACCTTCCCACTTACAGCTCACCTGCCTGTCCTTTCCTAAGTGAGATGCTGCTTGTGCTTGTGCAGAAGCTGCTGCTCCGGGTTTCATGCTGTTGGGGAAATGCAGACACTGTGGACATATATAGACACGGTGTGAAAAAGCTCTGCAGCATCCCTGGGCCTGTGGCTGTTTGGGAGCTCTGTGTGTGTGTGTGTGTGTGTGTGTGTGTGTGTGTGTGTGTGTGTGAGAGAGAGAGAGAGAGAGAGAGAGAGAGAGAGAGAGAGAGAAAGAGAGAGAGAGATACGCTTGGTGTAGGAGTGAGGCAAAGACACACTTTAAATTAGTACCTGTGTATCCTACCAAACAGCTGCAGACATTTCATAAATGATTTGATTCACACGTTGCACATGCGGAAAGAATGCATGATCACCTGTTTTTCGAGTCTGAGCACTCCCACTTGACACCCAGCTGCCTTTATGCCCAACAATAGCCACTCTCACAACTCTGGGACAGCGTGGATGCGGGCATGTGCTGCCGAAACAGATGTACTTTTAATCTGCATTTGATACCCGTTCCTGCTACTGACTTAGCGTACAATTTCCCTCAGCCCTTGCTGGTATGTATTTTTCACATTCCCAGTTAAGGCGTTGGAAAAATATCTGTCTAGCTAGGGAAAAACTCCCCCACCCCTACAAAATGACTCCCTCTTTTTCAATGTCCCCAGACATTTTATCATCTTGGAAAACTCAGGGCCAGACATATAGTATTCCAATAAATATTTCATGGATCATTGTTTTAATCACTTGAAATTTTAAAATTATAATTTCTAAATTAGTATGAGAAATCATAATTTTTCTAGAACATTTGCAAAATATAGAAAAGTATTTTTTTAAAAAGAAAAAATCCACAATCACACCACCTAATGATTATTGTTAGTATTTTAGTGTATTTTAGCCCACTATTTTTAGTTTAAATATTTAGAGTCTTTTTTTCTCCTGCCATCAAAACTCTTTACAAACATCAGTCTTTTAAAGGCTGAAGGCATATGACTGATCACAGTTTCCCTAACAGCGGACATTTAGGTTCTGATCATGTTTCTGGTCACTTTGCTCCTTTTGACACTTTTACACTCTCTGGAGCTGCAGGGTCTAAAACAGCGGCCACTGGCCCTGCATGAACAGAGATGTGCTGTCAGTGTAAAATACACACCAGACGCTGAAGGTGTAGTGTGAAAAAAACAATATAACACATAATTAATCATTTTAATACTGATTATATGTGAAATGATAATATTTTGGATATATTGAGTTAGTATGTATTATCAAAATTAATTCCACTTATGTCTTGCTCCTGTTCTTAATGTGGCTCCCCCAATTTTAAAAAGTACATAGCATGTGGCTTTTGCATACATGGCTCGTGTTCTGTTTAGATCCTTTAGATCCAGAAGCTGTCTTTCCTTGGTCCTTGGAAATGGGGTTGGTGGAGGGTTAGCCTCCCGTGCTTTGGGGTCCTGGGGAAAAGGCCTCCCACCACCCCCCATTGGTTGAGGCTTTTCAGAAAGAGTTCTGCTTGACTCTTCCCTCCAGCCTGACAGGTGGGGTGATTTTGTCTCCCCTCCCTTGGGGAGAATTCTGGGGCAGTGGGGTGGCAATACCTGAGAGAATAGGGCCACAACAGATTCCATCTTATGCTTAGGAGACAAAGGTATCCAGAAGGATACAGACCAGCTCTGTCCAATAGGAATGTAAGACGAGCCACAGGTGTGATCTTAAATTTTCTAATAGCCACATTCAAACTAAATAGAAATAAGTAAAATTCACTTTACCGAAATATTTTATTGAACCCAGTATGTCAAAAATATTACCATTTCAACATGTAATCAATATAAACATTATTAAGTCTCTATTCTCCATCCTTGTTTTCATACTGTCTTCAAAATCCGGTGTGTATTTTATACTCACAGCACATCTCAGTTTGGACCAGCCACATTTCCAAGTGCTCAACAGCCACATGTGACAAGTGGCTACAGTACAGGACACTCCAGATGCTCAGGGGATCTAACAGCTATCGACAATTGGTCCAGAAGACCAAGCCTAGGTCTCTCTGCCCAGCAAGCTCATTCCTACCAGTTTAACACAAATGTTGGGCATGCTTCTTTTCTTTGAGGAGAAGGCTCAGTACTTCTTTCTGGTGAATCCAAGGGAGCCGTGCACGTGGACCTGGGCAGGTCTCAAAGAAAGTCCTGCCAAGGCCAGGGGTGCACGTCCTGGGAGCAGTAGGTGTTGCAAGTGAAGCTGAAATTCAGCAGCTGTCTAGGGGAGCTGGGTGGCCAGACTTCAGTGGATGCTGCAGGAGCTGGGATGGTGATGAAGTTCAGGGCCAGAGCCCTGAATTCACACCCCAGCTCTGCTCCTTACTGGTTCCATACATAACCTCAGTTTGCTCATCTGTAAAATGGGGATGACAACATTTGTATCTGCTTCATCAAACTGCCGTGAGCGTTAAGTGAGGTCATTGATTCAAGTGTCACACCTGCTGGTTCTGGAGCTCAGCAGGTCTTTGGTTCCCTGTTGTTGTCTTGGGATGGACTTTTCTAGTGCAGTGAGCTGAGTGACCATATCTCTCTTTGGTGTGGAGACTGTCTTGGGGATCTCAGTCTGTTCTCCTGAGGTTGAAGTTTCATCCTGGACAGCTTTCTCTTCCAGCATTGACTTCTTGGTCTGCTAAAATATGTTAAAGGCTGAGGAGAGTGAATTCTTTTCTGTCCCTTACCGTGTAGCCCACAGTGCTCTGCTGCAAGCTAAAATTTTTTGAGATTGTGTTTTATTGTAAAGCTGCACATGTATCTCTCTTTGGGTACCATATTGTGTTGTATTTCACCATCAAAATTATGTTTTAAGTTGCCAAGAGAAGAGCAAAGCAAATTAAAGCCACATTTTCTTCTCTCTTATTGGTAATCAGGTGACATGCTTCTATGGAATCTATTGTGTTTTGAAGACTCTGTTGACTTGAATAGAGCTGATATCACATATCAAATTCAGTATCTAAGAAATGTATTTTTCTATCTCGGTGACAGGATAGTTTGATAACTCAGTCTCATACATGTGCAGATATCGGTGGCACAAATATGTTTACTGCTTTGGTTTCCCAACTTATGAGGTCAAATTGGCGCTGCCGATGGGTATGCCATGGGTGTCCTGTGGCTTTGCTTCCCTCTGGCCACCACCTCACACTGTGGGGGCCCCTGCGCACCCAACTCTGAGACGTAGGCCCTGACAGATGGCCCACTGTGCATCTCTATACATTGTGTGGTCCTCCCTGTGGTAGAGTCTGGGACCCAGAGACAGCCTCACTTATTTTTAGCTTGTTCTACAATAGGTTCCTGAATTGATTTCACCTTTGTACTCACACGACTGTCTTCCATGTTAGCAAAAAGTCTAGAATTTGGGCCGGCCCGGTGGCGCACTGCTATAGTGCGCCGCTTAGGAGCGTGGTGGCGCTCCTGCCGAGGGTTCGGATCCCACATACAGACCGGTTCCCGCTCACTGGCTGAGCGAGGCGCGGGAGCAACACCGAGGGTTGCGATCCCGTTGCTGGTCCCGGTCCGGTACGGGGGTGACACTGAGGGTTGCGATCCGTTGCCGGACACGGAAAAAAGACAAAAAAAGACAAAAAGGCGGTACGGGGGTGACACTGAGGGTTGCGATCCATTGCCGGACACGGAAAAAAGACAAAAAAAGACAAAAAGGAAAAAAAAAAAGTCTAGAATTTGACAGTTCGATTACATACCACTAATGTTCAGACATGTAGTTCTGGATTGACCTTGGACATTGCCGAGATTGTTTTTGCTAAATGTTTGTTTGAAGAGGGTTTCTCTGTCTTTTTTATTTATTTTTTTTCCATTTTGGGAAATGGTTGGAAAGATATCATTTTTAGTTATTAGTGCATTTTCAGAAAATTAAATTGTTCCCAGATGCTTAGGGTCTCTGTGTAGACCTAGGCTAAACCATGAAGGACAATTGGGCTGGAAAATTGAGGCAAGGGTAGCAGAGAGGGCAGCTGGCCTCTTGCCCAGGAAGCCCCGGCTGGACCTGGAGGCCACATGGAGCTGCTTCCCCCGCTTCCTCCACGCCTGCGTCCTGCTCGGTCTCTGTGTCTTCCTTCTCTCTCCACCCTCTTCTAAAATTACCGGCTATGTTGCCATGTTTGCAAGTTTAAGAATGAAGTTTTTGAGGATGCCTACACATGTATACATCAAGGAAAAGAAAAAAGGCATTCAAGCATTGCTCTCCTAGCAGAGAAAATCAGGACTGTTGATCTCATCCGCAAGATTCTTCTGGGTTTGATTCTATATCAAAGAATCAATCACTGATGCTCCTTTCACTTACAGCAATTTTCTTCCAAAATGGGAGGCAGCTGAGTAAGACGGACCCATTCACATCCCCTCAGTCTCTTACTGCCTGTGCTACCTCGGTTAAGCT